GGGACAAGCATGAATACAAAACAACAGGAATGACAAGAAAATGTAGAAAAGCAGGATATAAAAGACGACACAGTCAACATGACACGAAGTTGATGGGATGTATGGGATGGGGGTGGGTGCGGCCTTATTGGCGGTGGCTGCAATGTGTTGTCTACACAAAGTCATCCATTACAAAGTCAGGCTGGTGGACCTCAGGGTCGATTAGGGACCCAAATGGAGACTTCAATTAAGTGATTAGGATCAGAGTGTTGTGCTAAAAGAGAACAGATTAATTGAAAAACGGGTTGGGGAACGGAGGAGGAGAAAGAGAAGGTTAATTTGTGTAGATAAAGACGTGAAGACAAATGAGCACAAGCTACCGGTGATGCAGATGTGTGTGATGATGTTGATGGAAGGGGGCGTGATGTTTATGTACTCTATTGTCATTGTAATTTGGTAAAAATGTGATGGCAATTTTCAACCTGTATTACTTGAATACATTAGAAGGTAATTTCACCCAAACAATTACAACATGGATATATTGTTTTCTTACCTCTAACCCCAGGTTTTAAGATTTCCTCAGCCACCCCACCCCAATACAATGAATCAGAGTTGTGGTGACCCGATTGATGGTTAACATTAGAATCCTTAGAGCTACATGCTACCACAAGCGTAAATCAACAATAACTTCTCATTATTTATACAGAAAAATGGGCACTATTCTAAAGACACTTTGCCAGGGTATCTTTGCAAAAAAACAGCACTGCAAACTAAATAATTTTGTGGTGGCAGATAGATCAGAAAACGCAGATTTTAAATGGAAAAGTAAAACCAAAACTATAAAAATGTGGATACGAAAGACATATGGTATAGTATGTGTATGTGTGGTCAGGGGGGTTGTTGGGATCACTTACTCTAGACTAAACCCAGGTGAATGTTCCAGTGAAGAATCAGCCCTCCCTACTGGCTCTATACGTTCAATCCTCCTTTCTTGTCTCCTTCGCTCTTCTTCCTCCTCCTCCTCCTCCTCCTCCTAAAAAGAAAGAAACAAAAAGGGAAAAAAGGAAGGGTAAACCATTAAAAGCCTGTTCCAGCAAAGTAAAACACTCACACTCTCAATGTCATCATTTATTATTTGGCTGTGCTTGCATCTCCCTCGGTCCTGCATATATATCTCCTCTGGCTTTTAATCCAATTTCCTGCAGGAACAAGTAACGGCCTCAATTCTAAATCAAAAGAGACTTTCAGTAAAGTGAAGACGTCATCACTGAGGATGCTACAGAAACATCCTTTCCGGAGCCAAAAACTTCAGTGACTGTAGTGACAAAGTGGCCGTGATCGATTGCTCCTTCTTGATCAATCAGGTCTGGTCCGGGGCGTGGCACCGCTGCCGGGGTTTTTGCGGTGATGCGATCGGGTCCAGAGTGAAGGAAAGTGGTCGCGCACACTGTCATTTGTTCCTCTCACTCTCTTCATTTCATTTACTCATCTTCCTGCAGGGCCATTAGGCAGCGGGGCCGGTAGGCGGTGGCTTCTACAGGGCAGCCAGACGTCTGAGGACTTAACTAGGCTCTGGAACGAGAGCGGCTTCATGCTCCTCTTAATGGGGGATAAAATCTTTATCTGAGCTCTCTTTACGGGGATGGTACAGATTGAGCAGGGCAACTACATGCAGTGTTGACATGCTGCATGTAGAATCTGAGGGAGACAGATTTAATAACCTAAGGTTCCATTTCAACTATGCATGTATTGAAGGTTAGACACATGGGAGGTTCATCTACAAGTGACAAGAACAGTGATCATCAACATTTCAAATTGGAAAAAGGACAAGGTGATTTCAGCATTTCTTCTAGTCCTGTTAGTAACTGCTGCTCTGTGTGTGTGTGTGTGTGTGTGTGTGTGTGTGTGTGTGTGTGTGTGTGTGTGTGTGTGTGTGTGTGTGTGTGTGTGTGTGTGTGTGTGTGTGTGTGTGTGTGTGTGTACCTGTGTGTGTGTGTGTGAACCTGTCAGCCCCCAGACAGTGCAACGTCTCCTCTGAGGGTCTGCTGAAACGCTTTGTTAGCCACCGCTATTTCCCCGCCCTCACCCTTCACCTCCCTTTTTCTCTTCTCTTTGGCTGAAATGTCAAACACATCCAAATAGGTCCTGTGCCATTATGGTTTCTTTATGGAAATGGATTCAAACCCTTTCAGAGCCCAGGATATCTTTGGTGACACACAGGCGTGGCACAGAGGGACTCTCTCACCTATTTATTTATAAGCATGGGGGGAGGACATTTTCCTCAGCAGTCTACCTTAGCTAAAGAGACCTCCACCTGTCTATTTCCTCTCTGTAACAACGCGGTATGAAAATGAACCAGTCCATCAGTCAGCCCTTTAATTACGTGTCAGCTGCGATCCCAGGTGCCTAGAGGGGCCCAGTATTCACAAAGGCTTTTATGAAAACCCCCCAGGTGGGTTAGCTGATTTTCTTTTTTTAACATATATATGCTTTGCACAAAAGGACCTGTCTACCTGTGGGAATCAATGAATAAAGACAGGAGAGCATGAAGTGGAGAAGACATGTGAAATTGGAAAAGAAGAATAAATATGGGACCATACTTTAAGTATATGCTTTACAAAGAGATGGGTGTAACCGAAGGTATGTAAGCCAATATAATGTTGACTTTAGAAATGTTCATACAGAATGAAGGAGGTGATGGTGCTCATCATCTTATGTCTCATTAGACGAGTGAACTCAGTGTATCATCACAGAAAGTGACATGTAATTAACTTCAGTAGCTCTCAGCAACAATCTTCTGTCTGTGAGTTTGCTGGTGAAGATGATAAGTGGTTCCCTTAGAAATGTATTACATTTGATGTAATTAAGAAAAAGTAAAGGAAAAGAAAGACTATCTGCGAGTCAGTGCACAAAGGTGAAGGGATGCTTCACTTGCACAAGGCCAAATGCAAAAAGTGCAAGCAGGTTACATGTGAATGTGACACGTAAATTACCAAACTGTGGTACGAGCAGATGTCAGACGAGCACTAAAGGGAGGTGATATTTCTATTTAGGTATATACCAGGTGATTGGTGTCAGAAACGAAGAGGAACTGTGAAAATAGCTGTAAAGGAAAGAGAAACTTGTGATAAAAAAATGAAGAAGTTTCATGAGGATGAGCAAAGAGAGCTCGAGGAGAGAATAAAGAAAATGGCTCTGAAAAGATCATGTAGGGGGGAATTGCGTTTTATAAATATATGCCTCAACAAATTTGAACTTTTTAAAAGTGGGAACCACTCCAGAAAGAAAGAGATTTTCATTTGTTTCAAAAACCTTTCATATAGCTGTATTCTTCTCAACTTATTTTCCAAACACAAAACGCAGTGGTCGACCTTACACACTCCTGTTTCAGACTTTGACTTTTCTCGCAAGGACATCTGTGGAACAGTTGAACTGCTTTAGATATGAAAGAGAAATCATTTCACTGCTTTGACAGGATTCGTAATGCTTTTGTGAAAAATGTACCAATGTTTTGCAGCTCTGAAGTGAAACATATCGTCATAATCTAAAAGACATGCCCGTCTTACACTCCTGGTTTTGTTTGTGCTAGTGTTCTGATGTGAGAGCACAGCTGTGGCAAGTGTTTTTATTATCATATTATAATGTGCAACACGCTTCCACTGCCTGTACATTTCCACCGTAACCAGAAATGCATGATTGACACTTTGACACTGGGTTAAGACGGGGCTATCCAACCAGCAAGGGAAGCGCCTCTTCATTATGGTCTCAGGACAAAGACTGAGCTCTACCCAGACACACACTGGATATAATGAGTAATTACTTGTTAAGATTGACATTTCAAGCAGTGAGGTCCTCAAAGATAGCTGCTAACTTCTTTCTATAGTAGTTGAGTCAGTGGTGTAGGGGTCAGTGTCCCCTTGTGACCAGGGGCAGAAGAAGAAGAAGCCATCTCCCTTTATATTCCCTGCCAGCCCACTTACTGTCTGTCCTTGAGTCAGAAACAAAGCCATGCACTGAGTGACAGTGGATGGTCAGAGGAGAGACACAGGCTAAATATACATCCATCTGTCCCGCCCTTCCATTCTCCCTCTTTCTTTGTCTCTCCATCATTCTGAATCTATCCCTTCCCCAAACCAAAAAGAACCCTCAATTTCATCCTCCCCTGAGTGCTTTTAGCACCCTGTTGATCCCTTGGTAACCAGCGGAGTGGGAAAGCAACAAGGCTTTTCAACTCTTCATGGCACTCATTTTTATCACTCTCTCTCTGCTTCATTCCTCCCTCCCCCTGCTCTCACCCTTCCTCCCATGCATTAGAGCGAGCCCGTAGCCCTGATCTGTTGCCAAAAATCTACCAGCTCCTTTAACCCTTGATTTTGCTCTCCTTCATTGTTGGAGGTTTGGCCATAGGACAGCTGCAGCATATGATTATTGAAACGCATACAGGAAAGGGAGAGAGGGAGAGAAACATGGAGAGGCAGAAAGGGAGAGCTGCAAAGCACAGAGTCTGGTTACCTTCAAATGGACGGATAGGTTAGAACGGGAAGAGGACCAGGGAGAGAGGAGAGGAGTAGGAGCGAGGGAGGTTGGGAAGGGTAGGGAGGCAGCTGCTCATGAAGGATACACACACACATACAGTATACACACACGTACATACATGTACACACACAAAAGCCCATTGCTTGGGGGTTTGGGCACAGGGTGTGTGTTGAGGAGCTGTCAACCTCCATCAACCGCTGTCCTAAAGGACACCTACAGTAAGCGTGCACGCGCGCGTGTGTGTGTGTGTGTGTGTGTGTGTGTGTGTGTGTGTGTGTGTGTGTGTGTGTGTGTGTGTGTGTGTGTGTCATGCCATTAGCCATGGGCCAGTACAACATGTAGCCGTGAGGCGAAGCGTGGTGGTGACTCCCTTCTGAGTCCACAAGGGCTTAACAAGGACAGGTTCAAAGGTTGCAGTGGATGGTGTATTTGTGGCCACCACCCCTCCTTCAGGGCTGGGGTCCATCTGTGGGACAGCTTCAAGTGTGGAACAGGCCTCCCTGCCAGACAATGTCACCCGTTTCCTTACAATGAGCCGTATGTGCCCAGCAGAACAAATGGAGGCCAAAGAACAACATATAGATGTATCTCAAAATGAACACAGTGGTATGTTGGCTATATTAAAACAATAAAGGAAAGAATTAAGTCAAAGCATTTAGCAATATGGATGTTGAAATATTTATTTTTGACCTGGCCAGCCTACATTTGAAACATGAATTGTGAAAGCTGACATACAGGACGCCCCTTATGGAAACATTAAACCAGCCAAATATAACAAACAATAGCAAAATGTGAAGAATGGGCGAAAAAAACAACGGAGGTGGAGGCTTTTCTCTCTTTCTCATAAAAAGGTTAAGGAGCCATAATTGTACCCTCATTACGTCCTGTCAATGCTAACAACTGTACACCAGAAAAGACCTGAAAGGACTTCACAGTACCGCTGCATAGCACAAAGGCACTGACATACAGAAACAAGCTGCCGGTAATAACTCCTAATTGTGCTATTATAGTTGATTTGACCTCACAAAGCAATTATCAATACTTTTCCATCTTAACCAGAGCCAGAATCTCGCTGTTTCCAATCAGCTGTTAAAATAAGTTTAAATGCATTTGGCACAATGATTTTTCACCTACATTTGAACCACAGATGATCCCAACTAGTGTACTTCAATTAGAGCAGCTGCCTCCACCAGCTGCTGATGGATGGCATGTGCAGTGTGTAGGATGACCTGTTCATGGCTGTGACAGAATTGACCACGGATTATTCTTCGTGATACAGAAGGGCTTTTATCCTTCATATCCATCCCCTCAGAGGAAAGCGCCACCAGGGCCAAATGATGCACCAAAACGGCCTCTGTCAATAGATTGGACATGACTGTTGCACACAATGACCCAGCCCCACCCTCTCCCCCATCTTTAACCCTTCCTTCCCCACCAGCCCATCAGACTCCAACGCCATTAAAACAACCAATATGTCACAATGATACAAATTATGAGACACTTATTTACATTTATGTTGGGGATAAGGGAGCATTATAAAAGGCTAAGTGAAGAGTTAAACTGATTAGTGCATGATGAAGGGTCATAATGACCTCCTTCATCCTACCCACAAGTTCCCTAAATGGCACTTAATGGTTGTCAGCAGAGGCAAAATCCAGTTTCAGCAAACTGTCTTATCTTCTTTATATGGTTATGATCTCATGATGATGTAAGCTAATGGTGATTTCAAGGAATAAGGATTTATCGTGTAGATGTGAATTGAGTTGTAGGGTGGAGCGCTTACTGTTTAGGCCTCTGTTTCAGAGAATGCTGCTTTTTGTTTGGCTAACTATTAGCTCCCTGTTGGAGTGAACATTGAAAATCTGGATGAAAATCAAAGCAGTGTGACCCCGGTGCCTGCTATTACTTGCTATGAATGGGTGAGTGAGAGAGAAAGAGAGAGGGAGGTTATGATACTACAGTCCTATGTTTGTGTGCCAAGGGGAGTTGCCGAGGCGGCGGCTGTCCTCTGATGAGGACATGTGTTGTCTTTCATATTTCACACCCTGCACCCATGGGCTCCAGCCTTGTTCAAAGGAGAGCACTTGCATTCCAGATTAGATGTACTATTCCTTTTGATAAGGACGAGAGTGAGAGTCAAATGTGTGTTGTTGTTGTGCTGGGTTAGGAATGTGGGGTGTGAGGTTGAGTATAACGAACCTGTTCTGAATGGGAACCAAATAATGATGACACAAGTTTATTCATTTCAAAAAAGTTTGGAAATACAGTCCAGTAAATCTTTTTTTTTACCTGGACAAATCATTTTCAGAAGCGTCGTTTATGAATGCAGCAATCTTGATATAATTTGTATGTCCATTGGACCTCCCGAACGGCTACAGCTTGCATTTTAGTGTTCAGGAAACATTTATGTTAAAATCTGTTTAAAAAGGGATTACTTTTTGTCACCCAAATTATGTGACATCAAATATACTAGAACTGTCTAAAATGTTCTAAGAATCCTAATCAATATCAATCACAATATTGTTTAAACTGAATGATGACCGATCCTCATGGGGACACAACACTTTGTGTTTTTTCTTATCATTAAATCTCTATTCTTAAATTATATATTTCCGAGCCGATGATATCATCCCCAATTGACCACGTTTTATAGACCTGCCTTATCCAAACAGCTAGTTTTAATCAGCAACACAGCTTTTATCTAGCCTTTAAATCTGTCTCTCTTTGTTTTGGAAATACATGGCTTCTGGCTCATAAAAGTTCAGGCTCAGACGTGGATTTACTTGAAGCAAATTACAGGGACAGACAGGTTCCTAATGCTGTTAAGCAAATTAGATCAGAGATGTGAGGCTGCATTTGTCCACATCAGGACAGAGAGCGGCGAGATGTGCAGGGGTGGGGGTGAAAGTCGGACAGTGCTGTTTGTGGGCTGATATTTAGAAAAACGAATGCATGCCTCTCTCTTTACTCCGGTCATTCTCCCTATTTGTCTCTTAACTACAATCTCTCCTTTTCCTTTGTCTCTGCACTCTATAGTGAGACCTGCTTTGTGGGGATACATCATATGCCATGCCTGTTTCATATCAGGCCTGCACTGATCTATCAATGACACAGCTGCCTTTGCCTTTGCCCACTGTATCGTTAAATTGCACTTTAATTAAATTAGGCCTGCTAATTATGAGGGCTTAAATCAATCAGCAGGTCAATAACAAAGGCCCAAAGCGGACGGAGAGACCCGAGACTTTTTCCATACCTCATCAATAACAACCGCAAACCGGAGCAGACCCCCTCTTGTACCAGAGAGATTCAAACGGGTAGGGATTACCGCAAAGTGAGTTATCGGCACCGGCTTTTGTCCAGAGCACTTCTTACTCTTACAAGCTCAGTGAATAATGTCATTTGAATAAAGTAGAAGTGTTTCAAAGACTTTGAATATGCCAAGCATTTTGCTTTAGAATAGCACTTCAAAGGGGGTGTTTAAAGCAGTTTGAGAGTTTCTGGTGCATAAAAAAATGGTTCAAAGGGAATATTAGGACTTTCCAGACACCTGGCTTAGGTGAAGAGAGGTGATTGTGAACAGATAATCCGGGAGGTTGAGTGCGCAGCCCAGCTGAGCGGACGGTCCCAACTGAATCCCAGGTCTTTATCCATGCATTAAAAAGAGCTCTGTGGTGCTTTTCACAGATTAATCATAATTTTGAGCTTATTAAGTGGGAGGACAGTCTGCTTTCCACTGCTCAGAACGTTAAATCCATCTTTCAAACTGTGAAGGTCAGTGAGCGAATGTTACCCCCGTTGAAATAATAGCGGGTGTCTGAATTTCAATGAGAGCACCCATGGTTCAGATCTGGATTGCAATTAGATGCTTTTTCTTTTTCATTATTATTATGATTTTCAGTAGCCTCATCTGCAATTACGTGAGTCAGAATCACGCTGACTTATTGAGCAGCACGGTGGCTACCAATAAGCTACTACCCCTGAGCTGCCAAATTGTCATCCGAACTATCTAATACAACAGTTACTGTGATGCAAATGTTGTATCAGCAAGTAATAATGTCAGCATTGGAAAAAGAAAATATGCAGCGCAGCTATTCACAGAAGAATCTCATCCATTTACTATGGGCAGTTTTAACACGCTGTGACCTCAAACTCTAAATACACCGAACATGAAGAAGGAGGAAATGAAAAAGAGGGAATGAGGGTGAATGATGTTGAACTATGAATAATTAAGTGTAAAGGAAAGCTTTGGTACACATTGCAGTGAGTTATTACAGAGGGGTTAACGGTCTTTTCCACAGATCAGCCGTTGTTTGCTGCCTTGTTTGAGCAGGTGGGCCAGGGGTGAGCGGGGGCTCATCTGAGGCGTCATGGGAGCAGTGTGGAGCTAGGCGGGGGTGCTTTCCATTTCATTTTAATTGGAAGGTGAAGTTCTTGGATAAGGGGGAGAAAGAAAGCCATTTGGGCGAGTCCTCGCTTTTAGCCAGGGCTAAATGAAGAGGGCCGTGTGGAGATGAGGGGCCTGTGGAGGGCCGGTAATGAAGAGAGGTCCCAAAAGACTCCGGCACAGCCACAGTAATCTAGCGGACCAAGGAAGGGGGGGCAGGGTGTGGGTGTAGGGGTTTGAGGAAAGAAGAAGGATGTAGGAACACAATCAGAGTATCAGATTATAAAAACAAATATTTTTTTTTGTTTGCACATTATGGCTGTGAGTGCAATGAGCACATTATGAAAAATATATTGATTGATCAAAGGATTGTGCTAGTTAGAGTTGAAGACTTGCTAAATACGACAAGTGATTGCAATCACTGATGAGACAAGAGCACAGGAAAATCATCAGTGTCACAACAAACAAGACAGATCGAAGCTTGGATAGGCAATTTGCAGCATGTAAACAATGTGCGGGTAGAATACACTAACCGAGCACACACAGGCTACCCATAGGCACACTTACATATCAAGCTATCATATAACAACATCAGCAGGAGTCTCATATTCAAATCCAACAGACACACATGTACCCCAACAAGCAAAGCAATTGTTTCTGTGCTCCAATGTTTTCTAAAATGGATAAGGCTGTCAGCATGGTTCTGGTGGAAATTGTGATTACATGAGGGAATCCAGAGTATGTTGTGATGGAGCTCAGCAGGGGTGCGATTCTACACAACAACTCCCATGGCCTTTGTGTCCGAGACCGTAAAGAGGAGAGAATTCCGGTGGAAAAGCGCTCTGCAGGGAGAAGCACATCTATTTTCAGAGATGCTCCTTGCCAGAATGACACCATTCTGAGCCATTCAATATTCAATGTGGGCATCCAGCCTTGACACGCTCAAAGGATTATATCCGCGATTTTGCATGTTTTATGGCGGAAGATTTTCCAAAGTATTCATAAACTTTAGATTTTTCAATGTTTTTAGAAAGCCAATGGGCTCATTTGTTTCACTGAAATATGAGGATTTAAACTAGATGGAAATAGGTCTATCACTGAGAACATGATGGTACCTTGACGAAAGTTTCAGTGTGTTTTTAGAGTAGGCTACTGCAGTCAAGCGTGATATCATTTGTCTTCTGGGTGGTGAATTAATGTGTTGTTGGGATGCTCCTATAAACAACATTTAAGATGTTGCTAACCTATACAAGTTTCCTTAATAAAAGATGATACGAAATTTCTATCATTCTCACTTCTGTCTTCAAGTGTGAGTTTCTGGCCACAAGTTTAAAAAGCGATTGCTGCTGATATCTGAGCTTCCTGTCAGAAGACATTTCAATTCAAATTGAATTTGCTTTGCTATTATTACATATGGTATGGCAAATGTAAAGTTCATCATTAGACTCTAATCAGATGAATGAATCGTCCAATCATGAATCTGTACTGTTTATCTGGCTTAGTTATATAGATTTTGTTGGACAGGCATCTCTTTTCCACAGTGGAATACAACAAACGACCTGATAAATAATATTCAAGGACACTTTGACACAGAAGAAAGGAATTTGATGGACATAAACACAAAGTGTACTCTTAATAATAATGCATGACCTTTACAACCATCAGGCTGCCAGAGGTCTTTTTATAAGTTAGGTTTCTTTTATCAACTGTTGATGAAAACTAGACAACAATAGTGCACAATCAAGAACAGAGCAATAGCTAAATGAATCCTAATAACACCTCTCAGGGGTACAGCTCAGCGTGGCTGGCTACCATGACTACATCTGTATGGGAGGAACAGAAATGGACTGATTTGGCCACTGCCGTTTACCTTCTGCCCACACTCTCTCTTTAGAGGCTTTCTATTCCTCCATCAACTTGGCTCTGAAATGAAACCACCTCATTCCTGTCTGTTCACATCCAACTGTGACTGCTTTTGTTTTACAGCCCATGCAAATGAAACGGGTCTCTCTTCATGCGGGATGGTAAAGCAGCCCGGTCTCATGTTTCTCTGTGGCACAGAGATCTGGATGTTTACGGTAGGCTGGGGCCTTATTACATTCCTTCAGCAACTTAAAAGCATTGCCCCCCTAATGGGACCTATAAAACAGTGAGAAAAGCCTATTGTGACAATGGACCCTATTGTGTCAGAGTAGAGTCATTTGGCACTCTGCAGAGAGTGGAACTGTGTGGCATATTAAAAAAAGACGAGGGTGAGAAACTAGAAAGAAATCAAATAAATAAGAGTGAATGACTTTGCACTGTGGGAAATCTGGCACTGTCAATCATCAAAGTCCATCTAGAGCCATAGTGCTGGGCATAAAAAGAGCTTTGTGTCCGTAGCTGTTTCACAATATACTTTCATTGGTCTCTATATCTTTGTTTTTCTCTTCTCTTTTTGAAGGACCATTTACCGACCAAAAGAGTATCAACGTCATCTTGCCTGAATATTTGCCATGCTCCCAACAAAATATATAGAGCGCTTCCTTCCAAAGCAAAGAAATGTCTCAATCTGAAGAAACTAATTGGATTCGATGGAAAATGTACGAAGATAAGCACAAAATGATTACGCCTAAAAAAAACAGTGTTCAAAATGTGCATCGCCCTCGCCCCGCTTTGTTCTCTGCGGCCCACGCCGGTTCGGCTCCACGCTGGTGGCCCCGTTTTATTCCCTGAAGTCATTATTGTCTTCAGCTAAGGTGCCCCTGCTCCCTGTGATTTGTGGGTAATGAGCTGGCACCCCCCTGCCCGTGTTCAATTATTCTCATTGAGAAAGTGATTTCTCACTCCACGGAGCAAATCGGAGAAGAGGAAAGTGTGAACTCTAATCAAGAATTAACACGTTCACAACCAGCAGTGCGGAGAGGGATAGCCACCCTGATACTTCAGAGAGGATGTAAGGGTGGACAGAATGAAGAGAGAGAGGAAAGACGACGGGAGAAGGACAGACGAGCGACAGTAATCGACGTAAACAGATTCTTCAGCTGTCCCTAGAAAACCCTGTTTACATCCGCTTGTCTTTAGAGTTTGAAAGTGAGAGTAAAAAAAGGATTGGAACTAAACTTGTCAAAAGAAAAGGTGATGTGTTTACAACCAAAGCACAGACAGCCTTGCTGAAGGGCTGCTCGCAATGATGGGGTGAACGTGCAAGAGGGAACGACATCTGAGCAGTAATTAGGCACGGAGAGAGGGAGCCGAAAGAGAAGGAAGCGAAAAAGACGAGTGCAAACTTTGGAGAGAAAAATCTAGACGAGGAGAGATGAAGAGCAACCGCCGCTCAGTGACTACTAATGACCTGACAGCAGGAACCAGCGAGCACAGAGAGAGAGACAGCTTCAGCACCAAAAGGAAAGACTCAAACCTTTACGTTAGACACTCTGCAGATACATTAAGATAAGTTTCCTAAGTTTCCTAAGTTTCATAAGCAATATCTTTTATTAAGTTGGACATGTCTAAGCTTTTTCCGACTTGTTTCCCCCCAAAAAATAACAATTTAAATGTTTAATTCTGAGGCGATACGTTTTTGAATATAAATGGTCAAAATGTGAAAGATGACACAAAAAGCTCTTTGGAGCATCGGAAATATGTTCTACCAACCTAAAGCCTGAATCAGTTAAATTATAATCCAAACTTTCTCGTCTCACACACACGTCCAAACACAGCCTGCAGTGCAAGACAGGTTCAACATTTTCAGCTGATAGAGAAAGTTGTCAGCCTCCTAAAAATGTCTGCCGCATCCTGTTCATACAAGATAAGAGAGGAGACGTGATTTGCACAATCGTCAAGGAAGTAAGAAAGGCAGAGGAAGTAAGAAAAACCAAGAAGGGCAAGAACAAATAAAATATATCTTGCTAAGAGGGTAAAGAAAAGGCCAATGTGCTATGAAACTTTGTTTTGAAACAAAAGAGAATGATAGCTTTTTTTGTTGTTCTTCTTTGAAAATGGGTTGATTCCCGAATCTTAGCAGATCAACATTTGTTGGTTTTGTCTCTTCCTGTCCCCAGCCGGCAGCCTGCTCACATGCTGTCCTTGGGAACTACATTTGTCTGCTGTGTTATGTGCTTGGGATTAAGTTGTGAAAGTTGTTTTGAATTGTTAAGCACTCATTTCTATCATTCTCATTCTCTGTCAGTCCCGGAGTGTCTATGTTGTGTGAGTGTGTGAAGGTGAGAGGGGAGTCTGTCTGAATGCTAATAGCCACAAAAGGAACAAGTGAGAAAAGCTTCTGGGCAGAAAAGCTGGTAGATGATTAACTGTCGTGTACTCAATATAAATTACTCACACCCACACTAACCGAACTCACACACACACAGACACACACTAAGGTTCATAGTGATTATCAAGGCCGTTAATTTCTTACAAAGATGTTAAGTTAATAATGAGATGTTAAATAGCATTATTTTATAATTGCTCATTTACAACAAATTTGCCCTGCTGTGGAATAAACTAAATGACACTACCAACTGTGCACATTGTGTGTGTGTGTGTGTGTGTGTGTGTGTGTGTGCGTGTGCGTGTGTTGGTAATGAGAGCTCAGTGCTGCTAACTTGCTCTAAATAAATCTGATTAGCATTTTCCCTATAAAAGGAATAATTCCAACTTTGATATCTGTAATTGTGCTTAAGGGCTTCTGCGCTTCTCCGCTAGCCCTCAAACGCTCTGCTCTTCAACCCGTGCAGAGACTATCACAGCAGCGTTTATTCACTTAGCTCTTCATTCAGAACCTGTAATAATGAGCCTCACTCAAATCTATTTTTAATGAGCCATTACAGCCCCCAAAGACAGGCGTATTCCAGGTATGAAATCAGCTGGTGTAGTAACACACACTCAGGAGATAAACCCTGTGGGCCCCTCTCTGCAGAGAGCGTTCATACTCAAGAAAGACCCACCTTTTTATTTTGGCTTTTACCTGAATTTTATTTTATTCTTATTGTATTAACTTTTTATTCTTATTATTAGTTTTTAGTCCTATTTTATTCAATCCTGTGTTGGTATTCATAGTTATTTGTCACCACAAAGCTATGTGTTACTCTGGTTATTACCTGGGAAGGGGGAGACAGTATTGTTTTTAGTTTTTAGAAAACTGTCCATATGTGGGGTTTGTGAAGCACGTTGAGTTTCCTTTGAATGAAAAGAGATATATAAAGTTTGATTTGATTTCTCTGCATAGAATAATTCAAACACCCCCCACACACATGCACTGGAACACACTGAGGCGCTGGTTACTGTGCATGTGGCAGTGGCTAACCAACAGAGGGTGGTGTTGCATTGTGGGTCACACACTGCTGTCATGACTGATCACAGTAACGTGCCCACATTAATAAGTTATGGTTGCTGTTGAAGATGATAGATCATTGATAAACAGTGGTTCACTGTAAGTGTTCAAATATATAGTTTGACTTCAAACTCATTTAGAAACACAACATTAGGCTGCCACCAGGTTCATTTGAAAGCTGCTTGAACTTCATTACTTCTAAATGCTAAGTGCTGCTTTCAAAGTCAGTCATTACTTTAATTATTTGATGTGCTCATAAAAAGAAAGTATTTGATTAGCTACAATTCAAAGATATTGTGCAGTGTCCACCTGCTGATGAAGATCATGTGATCCAAAGTGTGGAAGCTACTCAAGTGAACTCGTGCTGTTACTCCGGGAAGAACAAACTTATAGCCTTATATCATATTTTTCCTGATTTGACCCAAAAACATTTAACGTACTTTATTAATTTGAAGAGATTTCAGTTCAGTTCCACATTTCAAACAGTCCTGATTGACAAGGTGTTAGTCAGACACATCTCTCCCACAGCACTAGCTTCTGATTGGATGACTGGTCCTGGTCCTAAATGTTGATATGCTTAAAAAGACATGCAATAGAAATAATATTCAAAAAACCAATAGAACAATAGAAATTAAGCATTTCAATCAAAGCTTCTCTTTACAGTTGTGAACTCTCTGTGCAGATTAGATTCTCCCCACACCCTGCTTTATCTCCCAGCATGCATCTGAACACATAAACACTAGTATTAGCAGTTTACTGGAGAACAATTGTTGGGAAAGTGATCTTAAAACTCTAAAGGACACCTCCACGTCCCTCTAATTAAAACTTAACCGCCAAGCTGAGGCGCTGAGCATTATGAGGAGGGAGAGAAAAGACTTATTTAGCATTAACATAAAAACAAACAGCCACATATATATATGCAAATGAAGGAAGGGCAAAAGCAGGATGCCGGGAGCCATCCGCCATAACTCACTCTGATGGCCTTTAAGTGAGAAATCGCCTTCGAAAAATATCCAATAAGAAAGTGGGAATGATGCACCTGTCGCCCTTCTGACTAATGACTCAATCAGGTTGCAAGGACAAGTAGCACATCCGGGTGCCGATGTTGGCCTAGAGTGTCACTTGGCACAGAATGCTCTCAGATTCCTCGACAGTCAGAGAAGCCTGTGATGATATCAAAATGGTCCAAAAAGGCTACGTTACATCTAAAAAACACAACTGGTTGTACCATTAGCATGGGCTCTCACTGATAACAGTGTGAACCTGATAACGTATGTGTGTTTAAAGCATCCCTGATTTGTGTGTGTAGATTTAAATATGAGAGACAATGAAGACAGCGTCTTCTTCTCTCCTCCGTCCGTCTAGCGAGCCGCTCAAAGTAGCTTTAATCCCATATCTTCATGAAGAAAGAACAAGAAAAAAACAAAACACTAGCACTGAGTCGTGCCTTAAAAATGACAATGATTTACATTTTAACATAATGCTCTCAGTCGGCTGTTATTGTGACAAAGTGCTGCATGTATCCCTCCCAAATGAAAGTGGGTGTTCTGTTATGCGTGCGACAAAGACATTTGGACGAACCTGCCATCCTCTCCTTTTTCTTGTAAATGAGCATAGGAAATCTATTTATGTCCTCCTACAGTATACCGCTGAAATAAGGAGAGGCTTTTGGCTTATTGGGAGACAGCCCGAACAGCTGAGATGAGCCCCCGTGAAGATATATAGAAAGACAGAAAGAAGGACAGAGAAGAGAAGCGGCAGCACTCGAGGCGCTGCAGGGAAACTAGCGAGAAGTCCAAACACTAAGCCGGGAGAATGAGGGATGAGGAAGCGTTCCCCGCTCTGACAACACCTGGCCCAAGAACAAACTGGGGGCTTGTATAGATGCGAGGTGGGGAGGGATAAAAAGAACCCTGAGGCTACCCCCCCCCCCATTTATTATGCGAGCCATGAGGTTGAGGATAGCGTTGAAGCGACAAAGTTGAGACACAGACATGCAGATGAAGAAGAGGAAATGAGAAGGAGTGTTTTTGGAATGTGATAGCAGCTGATCCAGTTCAGGTGTNGGGGGGGGGGGGGGGGTCTGGCAGCCAGGTTCATACCTCTGCTTTAACAAACTCGCACTGATGTTCCTAGGTTCCATCATAGAGATGCCACAGTTCACTCTCTGACACACTATGGAGTCTCCTTCCTCTCACAGAGGGGGGTTTAAATCAGACGGGGGGGAAGTCGCTGCTTTCTGACACACACACACACACACACACACACACACACACACACACACACACACACACGATGGTGTTAAGCTTTTCTCCTGTGTTCTGATTTAATTGTCATGATATCTTTAAATGTAACTTGATCAGTAGGGTTTTAATAATTTTTAATAATTCGAAGGAGAAATCACCCTCATCCACATTTCCATCCTCTATTAGCCCTAAGGTCACCTTAAGGTCATAACGTCACTATATATCCCAACATCCTTTCCCTAAACACTCTTAGCAATTATACATCATTCTCTGACTATTATAACACTTATTAAGTAATATGATTAAAACATCTGATAGAATGATATGTGTATTCAAAAACAAACACAGGTTATAATTAAATCATTTGTATCTTAATGAATATGCGTGAAATGTGTGATCCATAAATGTGTGCGCATATCTAGGCCTTCACGAGGCATTAGTGAAAATATATAAATACAGCTAGCTATACTATTAAATATTGTATCAAACATACAGGCTTATTATATGATAAACTCGTAATAACGTGAATTTAATCAGTCGGTCAAACAAAATCATACAAGTATTTATGATTAATAATGTTCTGCGTATATGAGTCAATTTATGAATGAGTGCAGTGTATTATACGACAGGCCTTTATTTGTATAAACATGTCTCCCAAAGCAAAAGAGCTTTTTAAAGGGTCTAATGTTAATAGCATTTTGAGTCAAACAATATTTAATCATTTTAGCACGCTATCCAGAAAATGGGAAAAGGGTGTAAGGAACGGCACATATTACGCACGGTGTCTGCGCGCATTCCCATGTAAAGGCACCCTCTCAGTGTCCAGCACCCTATGCACCAGCTACGGAAGCCACACAGGTCATAATCTATACATAAATGGAATTATAATACCGACGGGACGCCGAGACGAGTTGAGCGACTCTGGACACTGCCGCCGTGCGCGCAAACGCCGGAGTGTGTGTGAGAGTGGTTATTTGTGTGTGTGTCAGTGTGTGTGAAAGCCACCACTAGTCGCCCCCAGTGCTCTTCAGTTTCCACTCTCCCTTCTCACCGCAGACTGAACGTCACGTCCGCACTTGAACTTGAGTTTTCTCCCATTGTAGAAGCCAGAGAGAAGCACAGAGCCGCACACTGCTGCACACTGCCCGGGGAAGCGGGACTCTGCAGCGAGCACAAAGACAAGAGAGGGAGGTAGCCTGTCCTCAGAGCAACACTGGGCTTTGACTCCACTAGTTAAAGTGTAACCCGCCCGCCTGGCACTGCTGGTGCTGCAGAAGAAGTGCCCACCACTTTGCGAGAAGTCCCGAAAAGGACATTGGATTCCTATTGGACTCACTTTCAGGCGTTAATTGGCGTCAATTCACCTGGACAGGGACGCACGGTGTCCAGGTGTCCGGAGAGTGGACACAGCTGACGGCCGGGTTTCCTCCTCTCCACCCTGCTCTTCTCCACCCGGCTCCTCTTCCGCTCTCCTCTGACAGATGGTGTGAAATCGCGGAAAGCAGAGTCGGACTACCCCCTCCCTCGCCACCAGAAGGGAGGCGCGCCACCACTTTGGAACTGAACTCCGACCGCCTGCCCAGCGCTGCGCTCCGGCCGGCCACAGCAGAGCAGGATCCGCTACCCATTGGAGGGACATCCACCGCACAGGGGTCAGTCCGAGGGCCACATCTGGGACAGAGCCGAGGTCAGCTCTGGGCAGCCAGCAGCAGGAGGAGACGCCACCCTTCCAGCGCCGCTCTCTGGGCGATGCCAGAGTAAATGCCAGGGCGATGTCCCGACGAAAGCAGGGTAACCCGCAGCACCTGTCTCAGAGAGAAATAACACGTAAGTGGCCCTGCAAATATTTACATGCACACATCGCTTTTCCCTCTCCGGTGTCATTCTGAGGCTGAGAGATTTTTCCCGGGATGATGGTGCGTAAAAACAAACATTTTCAGACTTGGAGCAGAAAGTTTCTCGGGGTGCGTCCTGAAGGCCAGTTCTTTCCTCTCCAGCGTAATTGACAACATTTGATAAAGTCTTTAATTTACTGACCTGATTATAACTTTGTATAATTATCCTGCTAATATCAGGGAAGATGCCACTGTTAAAGAAGAAGGAGATCCTTCCTGTGACTTAATTGAGACGTAACTTCTTTATGTCTCTGCTTTTTATTTCAATTACATATAACCAGTGCGATCATTAAATGACACTTAGTGTTCAAACCGCAACAAAAACACAGTTCAAATTCCATCGGTTTAAACGAACATATAAATTATCCTGTTATATAAGATAAAAACACACACCATGTGTTTGTAAGTATCCTAAATTAGAAATAAGAATGACATGCTCAATTTCGATCAATTAATTCTTCTTATTATATATGTTTGCACTTTAAGAAAAAAAGGAAATGTTTTATTGTAATGAAACTAATGAACTTTATCATTGTACCTGCTGCCGTACGGGGAGATGTTGAAATGAAAGAAGGTGCTCTTATTAAATCTTTGATAGACACATCACCGCCTCGTGCTAGCCTTCCTGTCTTCAGTTAAATTAGTCCCGTGCATGAGGTCTATTGCTGCATGGATGCAAAACGAATTATTTTTAATATTTATGTTTCGGTTTAGATTATTTAATAGCCTGCACGCATTGCCAGCGGAACATTCCAGGGTTTCCCTCACGACACTTTTAAGCACATTACAGTAATGGAGCGCAAAACAGGTTAAATTAAGTAAGCCGAGTTTTACTTATGTGAAGGATTAATAGGATCTTAAAGGCGTTCATTGGTGCAAAGCAGAGAGCGAAAGGAAATACATTTACAATTAAAGACAGAGGAAATTAACCTTTTTTTTTCTCATAATGTCAAACCTAAATTACGCGGAGGATTTAAAAAAGGAAACGCATCGCTCTTCCACTGAGTTTGACGCAAACTCTAAATCTGTTTTGGCGGGGACTCTTTTTTCCCGCTAAACTTGTGAGCAGTGGAAAGCTTTTGGCCTCAGATCAGTTTCAGCTGGTGTCCTGACAGCAGCAGGCTTCATGCTGGACTGTAACTGCTGACACTCAGTGTGTGATGGGAGGGATGTATCTAAAGGCAGATGTGAGTCCAAACCAAAAGAGGAAGGGAACGTGAAGTGCTGCTCAGTATCACAATGCTACATTTAGTTTGGATTTATTTGGTCCAGTTTTAAGTGTATTGGAGTGATGTGTGGAATCTGCAGGTCAGACCAGCTCTTCAGGGGTTCTGCAGAACTGACCAGCTGCGGTTACAGTAGAAACGGATCGTCTTGCTTCGGGACACTTTGCCTGTCTTTGGGTTCCCTCCTCTGCTTTTCCCCACAGGGTCACACACTCACACCTGAACACAATGCATGGGGCTTGGATGTGAAATCATATCCTTCCAAGTATGTGATTGCTTAACAGAGCAACAACGTGTGTGTGGCCTGCAGTGTGTGTACATTTAGAAATGGCTCACACTGTGCACGCTGCATGCTTTGCTGTGAGATGACAGTTTATATTCTAAACAACAAACAGACAGGTGACGTGTGGAGATGTGAAGATGGAAGCTAATACATGAGCATCCTGTTTGTATTGTAACAAAGGTGCTTAAAGCTCTCTGTGTGTGCTCATGAGTGTGTGTGGAGTGTAAAATGCATTTTAGTGTCCACAGAGCAGGTCTGACCTGTCTGTGTGTCTGATGTATCACCCAGGCTGCAGCAGGGCTGTACATTCCACCATTTACATGTAAGAGATGCTCACAGACACACACACACACACACACACACACACACACACACACACACACACACACACACACACACACACACACACACACGTAATCCCCTCACCAAAATCAGCATCATTCTTCTAAAGCTATCAGGTAATAAAATCAGGCCTCAGTCGTTGTGCATTATTTTTAGGACCCAGAATATTAGGGTTATTAAAACATTTAGCATATTTCCTAGTTTTTCTAAAGCGTATAATATTTTTGATGAATCTGCTTGCCTTTGGTTATTATAATGTCTGTGTTTTGAGAAGAGAATAAAAAGAGGAATCAATAACGGATCACAGTTTGAGCTACTGCTCAGTACCTGCAGGAATGAAATGTTAGCATCTCTCCATCTGTCCTGAGAGAGACGAGGGGAGATCAATCGTTAGGAATCTATAGTGTTTTTGTTTGCCATGCAGATGTGTTGTGGGTTTTTGACATCGGCAGGCCGAGACAGTTTACACCCGAAGGTGCAGATGTGCCTTCTGCTTCTCCTTCACTGCTAACCCCAACAAGAGGCTGATTTAGTGTGAAGAGACGCAAACAGGACGAGAGCTCACACACACACACGCACACACACACGCACACACACACACACACACGCACACACACACGCACACACACACACACACACACACACACACACGCACATACTGGAGTAAGCTGCACATGCAGCTTACTCCAGTATGTGCGTGTGTGTGTGTGTGTGTGTGTGTGTGTGTGCGTGTGTGTGTGCGTGTGTGTGTGTGTGTGTGCGTGTGTGTGTGCGTGNGGAATGAGCTCCCCATTGAAATCAGGACAGCAGAAAGCTTACACATCTTCCGGGGGAGACTGAAAACTCATCTCTTTAGACTCCACTTCGAGCGATTGAATTACTAACAAAGCACTTATAGACTAATAAAGGGCTGGCTTATCTAAAGCCAGTTGAGTAGCACTTGAAATGTTTTGGCTCTATGAAACCTGATGTACTTATATGATTCTGTTTTCTTCAAGGTTGTATCTTCCTGATCGAATGCACTTATTGTAAGTCAGCTAAATGCAATGTAATGTAATGTGATGTAATGTGATGTGGTAATTGATTTAGAGGAATGTACATAGTAACCCTAACCTAAAAAATGGGGATAAGTACTGCACATGTTCAGACAGACTGATAGGGTGATGAACTTGGTTGTTTTCTTGCAAAGTGCAGAAATACCTTAAAACATATGTCAATCGTGATGTGAAGTAGGTGTGACTTTTGGACTTAGTAAGTATAGCTAAAAGTAGAGCTTTTGATGACATCATGTGTAAAACCCAACATATATTCCCAAAGAAAAGTTCACAGAAACAGTTTTTGGCTTTCACTCTGGCATTGGTGTGTCTTCCTTGAACTTGACTTTCATAGACTACTTTTATTTGATTAGTATTTCCCTGTTGGGGGTTATTTTTAGGTTTTTATCCGCTCAATGGCAATTGCTCAGTGTACACAATCAGAACATGGGAGAAGCTCAAGTGCTATTGACAGAGGTCAAAACCACACTGACATTGATGTGAAGTGGCTTTACAGAGTGATTGCAATGATACTTACATGATTGACCCCCCGCTGATGAACCAATCAAACTTGACTATCTACATGCAACTTGTTATTTAAAGAGTTTCTCCATGACTACGTTCACATTTAAATACCCAGGGATGCTCACCTTTACCTAAAACAACAAAAAAAAAAATAGTGATGAGTAGTCCATTCCTCCTCTGACCTGGTCCTGCAGTCCCTGATTCGCTGCTGGTCCTTGAAGCCTTCGGTGACAGGGTTGCTGGCGGGCCATTAGAGAGATTGCCTGTGGGGGGGAGAGTGTGGACACCTTCGAAGAGGAGGGCCTTCATCTAATCAATTTGGCTTAGTGGTCTGCCACTGAGGAGCCTCCTTGCTGCCAGCCAAGGCCATATAAAAGTCACTACAGGAGAGGAGAGGCACAGTGACGCAATCACAGGACACAACATAACTGTACATTGCACCTGCATATTAGTTTGCAAGACTGCCTCACCAAACATTTGAAATACACAAAGCTGCTCAATTAAGACATTCATTCTTGTAAGCACAATAATTAATGTCTGTGATATTGTACGTGAGTATTCCTTTGGCTTTTTTAAAAAAGCTCTTAATCTTAGATTTAAGGAATGAAAAGTGGACTGCCCTTTCCCTCCCGGGCTTTCCCATGGGTTTGGGTGACTTCCAAAGGCAGGGATTGTCAATTATAGATAAACTACCAAGTTTAGGTTTGAAAGCACATGCAGCTAAGTCTGATAGGAGGCACTGATACTTATCATTCTCATCTGCCCTCTCTCTATAACTCTCTCTGGTACTGAACTACCTCTTCAATCTCTCACTTCAGCAGTGTCCAGGTGATGCAGTGTGATCTAAGGGCTTCGATATCTGAAGACTTGCACAGTTAATAACGCAGGCATAGATCTGCGGATTGGTTCTGTCTGATGGTGAACCCATCTGACATCAGCTCAATCTGTCTCTTTTCTGTCTTACCCCTAAAGTTCATGGAATATTTGGAAAAGTCATCACTTTGATAGAACAATTGAAGCCTTAATGTGCAGTACAGTAAATGAGGCCCAAGTTGTCCCCTGTACTGCTTTTGTTAAAGCTTTTTTTGAGCCAGCTGAGATTACACCATGGCCTACAAATGAGGAAATGCACAGGTTCTTCGGTTTTATTGTCAATTAAAGGGTTCAGCAAGTTTCCCTTTCACATGGCAATTTCTAATGCCGTCAGTACAGTGAAAAAGCTGATCACCCAGGCTACAATGCGGGGGCTGGTACCGAAAGTCTGTCGAGTCCAGTCGAGCACAGCCATAACACGCTGTTGAAACATGTCAATAGATCTACTGAACTCTCAACTCTCAACTCCACAACGATCCACTTCAACTGTGCATCACACCTCTCAAAGTAGCTTCAGTGTTGAGCACACACTCAGCAGGCAAGATGTTGGGATAGCAAGCTCATATTTAGCAAAGCTGAAAGCACTTTTAAACCCACTGGCCCTCATGAGACTCTGAACTGCCTTCCTCTACCTGAGTTAGTGGAGAGG